TTATTGCACTTTCAAAATTTGGCATATCCTTTATTTGCGAAGGATTTTTCTCGGTCACTCACGCGACGTAACTCGGCTGTGTCAGCATTTATAGTCTTTAAATTAGTATTTATGCTAAGAACAAGAAGAAAAAATAACAAATCTGGTCTTTCTTTGTATTCTTTGCCTTTACTTTACGAATTTAAGCACAATTAAAGAAACAAATTCTTCGACTTTGGTTTACCTTTTTGCGGAAGTACCCATATGATTTGTAATTCGGGAATTTCATTTGTAATTCATAGAATTCCATTTAAAATTCATATAATTCCATTTCAAACTCAAAGTATTGCGTTTAAAATTAATAAAATTCGAATTACAAATGAAATGTTTTAAATAACATCTGCTTTTCCCTGTTCATACAGAATAAGGCGAGCAAGCGAAAAATTTCACTCGTGTCATAAGTCATACCCTAGCGAATACAAAGAATAAGGCTGAAAGTATTTTTCTTCATGACACTACGTCAATTGAGTATTCACTAACAATCTACTTATGTTAAAAATACTTCAAATTCGATTTGACTAAAGCAATGCCATATCAAAAATAAACAAAGATAAAAGGATGTTTATTTTTGCATTATAAGATCTCCAGTAAAAAGTTAATAGCCACCTGGGTTCTTATTATACTCTCTAAGATATTTTATCTCCAACCCCACATTTTTTTATGTTATTTTAGTTGTGTTACCAAACCTGCAATATAATACCTTATTGTACTATTTTGCAAGAAATGCGTTCCCTTGCTCTCAAAACAATACTTATATGATTCAATTTTCTAGAATTTCAGTCCTAGACAGATATTTCTTGAACTTTTTAATTGACTTTAATTTCATTTCTGATTGTGATATATAGTAGTTCGAATTTTTTAATTATTAAAACATGCACTAGTTTGTCTTATAATTTATTATATTTCATATAAAAAAGTATGTGAAACACATAGTGATCTCTTCTAAGTGGTATTCGTATTTTCGTTTGTAACAATTCCCTGGTACAGAAGGACCAAATTACTCCACTAAAAATTATAAATATAGGTCTAGTTTTTCTGGTAGTCCCCATTTTTGTTAATTTAGTACGATTCATTTAGTTGAATATACTATTTATGGTCAAAGTGGTGAAGGCACAGGATATTATATATGTTTGTAACAGGCAGAAGGAAACCCGTCTGTTAGGATTCATTTGTTGAATATACTCAAAGTTACTAACTGGTTTATTATTAAAACATGAAATCACAGTATGTAAATTAATACAATCAAATTGAATAAAAATAGATAAATTACACTCCCCTAAAAGAATAATTAATTTTATTCATATTTCATCATTGATCATTCGTATCAACACACTTTGCACTTTGTTGAATTTGACTTTGCAATTTCTTATTATCCAATAGCAGTTTTGTATTATTTTCAATTTCCTTCTCCAGTTGATATTGAAGGTGTTTCACCTTCAGATCTGTAGTATTGTTGTCGATAGCATTTTCGACATTGCATTTGCAAATGTTCGCAATCTCAGGCACTGGAGTATTAGTTGCAGCTTTATCAGAATTTCCGATTTTTCGGTTCAGAAATTCCTTTAACACAGATATTTCCCTTGATTTCAATGCAAGTTCTTTTATGTTATATTCGTTCTTATTAACAAGGCGAGTATTTTCTTGTTGTAAATCCTTAACCTTATTCTCGTTCTCTGAGAGTTGTTCCTGCAATTGTTGTTTGATTTCGACTTCGTTTGCTATTTTTTTATCCGTAGATTGTAAAGATGTTTTCAGAATTGAAATTTCATTTTCCTTAATTTTAATCTCTTCAGATTTACGTTCATTTTCAGCAGTAAGATGTAGAATTTCCTCTTGCAATATTTTCACTCGATCTTCTGATTCGGAATACAAGGAATGCATTTGGAGAAAATGTTCATCTGTAATGGCTACTTGGTCAATTTCTCGTTGCAATTTTATTCTCATTTCCTGTTCAAGAGAATATTGTTGTTGCATTTGAAGAAAATTGCTTTCATCTTCACACAACTGTACCTCAAGTAGATGTATTTTGTCAAGGCTTGAAACTAGTCTTGCTTGTAGTTCTTCCACAACGTCAATAGAAGGAACTGATTGTAGCACTTCGGGATCATCGTTAAAAATTAAAAATATCTTATGGGACGTAGGATTTTCTTCACGGCATTGAGGGCAACTAGTGGCTCTAAAAATATTAAAAAATATATATATGGTTTTTATTAATTTGAACAAAATAGTATTATTTATTTTAATTCAGCCCCTGTATTCTGTAACTTTTTAACAACATTCGATATTGTCTATTTTACAGCAATTTAATTTGTTTGTTTTATTGTTTTCACAATAACAAAAGAAATTTAAACAACATCGAATGTTGTTAAAAGTTACAGAATAGGCCTACAGGTTTTGAGTTTATTTACAAAGTAAAGTAATTTAGATAAAAATATGTTACTACATGCCTTCGCAACATCGTGCGTGTTCTTAGGTTTAACATTCACAACTCTGTAAGGACCTAAGTATTTCGGCTTAAGTTTAAAACCTCCTCCAAGTTGGGTTCGTTTTATGGCTACCAGATCGTCAACGATGTATTTATGTGAAGATTTGCGCTTTGATCGTAGTATTTCTTGTTTTCATTCTGTACGGCTAAAATCTGGCATTTTGCTGACTTGCGTATCTGGCCTCGCTGTTCATCGTAGCTAATAAGCATTTCTTGTTCAAGAAGCTCCTTTAGATTTTCGTCGTGTTTAGTTCTCATTCGTGTTCCAACCAGCATTTCGAAAGTTGTGTATCCCACACTTCTTTGATTGATGTCTAATCTATAGTCTCCACAAGTATCTAAACTTCGTTGAAGGTTAACTACAGCAACATTGTAATTACTCGCGGGAATTATGACGTCATCAACGTATGGTAAGGCGATACCTTCTCTATTTAGCTCTCGGAATATATCATTTATGTGACGTTGAAACACAGCCGGCGAGTTAGAAAGACCAAATGGAACTCTTCGGAATTGGTACTGGCCATTGTGAGTCACAAACGACGTATACTTTCTACTCTCTTCATTGACTGTTACGTGAAAGAATCCATTTCGTAGATCTATTGTACTGAATATAACAGCGTTTTGCAAACGATCGAGCTGACCTTCGATTAGGGGTAGCGGATAATGATCTTTTACTATCACCTTATTTATTCTTAGGTAATCAATACACAATCTAGACGTCGAATCTCGTTTCTTCACTAAAACTATTGGACTGTAAAATTCAGAGTCCGAATGTTCGATAATTCCTTCATCCAACCATTTGTCAATTTGGTTTTCGACTATATTCGATAACACATGACGCAACTGATGGCTCAACGCGAACATTCTGTTTAGCCCTTAAGACGTCCTCTGTTTCCACGATCTCCTTCGCAACCATAAACAAACATTTGCAAAGCAACAACAACAGCTCGTTTGGCAGCTGCCAAATTATTGCGATTTGTAACAAAATCACCAAGTGCAGCCATTTCGACGGTTATTATGTTTGTTTTTACTTCGTTCTCTTAAAATTTTTGATATTCTCTTTTCAGTTTGTTTATTTTTCGTATGAAGAAACTAACCGTTACGTTTCTCCTTTTTTTGTTCGTCGCCACGTCGTTTTCATTTATTCATACACATACTCAGTTGTTTGGTTCATTCGTCGTTTAATTCATTCTATCTTCAATTTATTTGTAAATTTACTTTTTCAATCGTTTATCCACTTTACACTAAGACATCTATTTTTCTCGTGTCTATACAAAATCACTTTTTTCTTATTTCTCCGTAAGTAACGTCTTTTTTTTTGTGGATAGCGTCGTTTTGTTTTTGGCTTAGCAGCGGCGTTGTCGTCGTTTTTGTAGAGTAGCGTTTCGTTTTTTTATTTTTGTTGAGCTTCGTTCCTTTTTTTATTCTTGTTGATCAGCGTCGTTTTCCTTTTTTTTTTGCTTGAGGTGCGTCGTTCTCGTTATTTTTTATTTTGGTTGAGCAACGTCGTTCTCGTTCTTTTTTATTTCGGTCGAGCAGCGTCGTTCTCGTTATTTTTTCTTTTGGTTGAGCCCCCAAATTTATGGTTTTTATTAAACAAAATATTTTTTGTTTATTTTAATTCACGTTTTGAGTTTATTTTCAAAGTAAAGTAATTTAGATAAAAAAGTATGATGAATAAATGAAATGATTAAAATTATGTTTTGCCGAAGCACGTCTTTACAGTTTCGCTTCGTCGTTCGAACTAAGTTCAAGTATGAGTGTGATACAAGAGCATACCAAATTTTCTAATCCCACATATATGTTTACAAAAGGAATTTAATTAAAAACAATGAGTGGTGAAACAATATTTACCGGCTTCGCCATTCCTGCATACATGCCATGTGATACAAATGCCCACAACTGGTACTAAAAATTTCATCAGATTCCGCAAAATTTTCGGTACATATTGGACACATTAGTTTAAGCCCAGACATGTTTTACTTTTATTTTTTCAATTATTAATTTACGATATCTAGTCGTTTGCTCGGTTTGTAAATGAATGATTTTGTATACGATACGATGCAGAATATAATGACGCATAAATATGAGGGATTCCCCTATACTTATGTATATTAAACCGCAAAACATATACACTTAAATTAGATATGCAAAATTCCGTTTCGTCATTTTGCATATCTAATTTAAGTGTTTTGTACTTTTCGTTGTGTCCCCAAACCTGTTTTGCTCTGAAAACTATATACATATATATTAGTCATACAGATTAGTCATTATTGATGGTCCGCATTTTTTAAAGTTATTATTAAAACAGGCACTAGTTTGTCTTATAATTTTTGAGAATTTTTATATTTCATATAAAAAAGTATGTAAAACACATTGTGATCTCTTGTATGTGGTATTCGTGCTTTGAAATAACGGTAAGTAAATTAATATGTAGAATGAAAAAATAAAAATAATTATTTTCATTCATATTTCATCATTGATCATTCGTATCAACACACTTTGCACTTTGTTGAATTTGACTTTGCAATTTCTTATTATCCAATAGCAGTTTTGTATTATTTTCGATTTCCTTCTCTAGTTGATATTGAAGATGTTTAATCTTCAGATCTGTAGTATTGTTGTCGATAGCATTTTCGACATTGCATTTGCAAATGTTCGCAATCTCAGGCACTGGAGTATTAGTTGCAGCTTTATCAGAATTTCCGATTTTTCGGTTCAGAAATTCTTTTAACACAGATATTTCCCTTGATTTCAATGCCAGTTCTTTTATGTTATATTCGTTCTTATTAACAAGGCGAGTATTTTCTTGCTGTAAATCCTTAACCTTATTCTCGTTCTCTGAGAGTTGTTGCTGCAATTGTTGTATGATTTCGACTTCGTTTGCTATTTTTTTATCCGTTGATTGTAAAGATGTTTTCAGAATTGAAATTTCATTTTCTTTAATTTTAAACTCTTCAGATTTACGTTCATTTTCAGCAGTAAGATGTAGAATTTCCTCTTGCAATATTTTCACTCGATCTTCTGATTCGGAGTATAACGAATGCATTTGGAGAAAATGTTCATCTGTAATGGCTACTTGGTCAATTTCCCGTTGCAATTTTATTCTCATTTCCTGTTCAAGAGAATATTGTTGTTGCATTTGAAGAAAATTGCTTTCATTTTCACTCAACTGTTCCTCAAGTTCATGTATTTTGTCAAGGCTTGAATCTAGTCTTGCTTGTAGTTCTTCCACAATGTCAATAGAAGGAAGTGATTGTGGCACTTTCCGATCATCGTTTAAAATTAAAAATATCTTATGGGACGTAGGATTTTCTTCACGGCATTGAGGGCAACTTGTAGCTCTAAAAATATTTCAACAAAATATGTTTCCAAAAGGAATTTAATTAAAGACAATGAGTGGTGAAACAATATTTACCGACTTCTCCATTCATGCATACATGCCATGTGATACAAATGCCCACAACTGGTACTAAAAATTTCATCAGATTCCGCAAAATTTTCGGTACATATTGGACACATTAGCTTAAGGCCAGCCATTTTTGCTTTAATTTCTTTCAATTATTAATTAACGATATCTAGTCTTTTGTTCGGTTTGTAAATAAATGATTTTGTATATATTGCTATACGATGCAGAATATAATTACGCATAAAGATAGGTGATGTCCCTATACTTATGTATATTAAACCACAAAACATATACACTTAAATTAGATAAGAATAAAGTTGTGTTAATACTCGACACTTTGTTTAAAAAAAGTACTAAATGCTTTTTTTTTACCTAAAAATAACCAAGAAGTAAGGCATCAACGAACTTCTCAGTGAAGAGGGTATCGCCGATAACGTAAGTACTTCGAATTGTTACAAGATACATTTGAGAATGAAATATTTTTTTTTAGCTTGTGGGGAGAATATACCAACAAAAAACTACGGTAACTGATGAATCACAGGAACAAAGGGGTCTCAATCAATCAACGTCGTAGGATGGTGGGACGGAGAATTGGATCCAAAAGAGCTCTGACGGGTATCGAAAGACTATTCAACTAAGTTGCACCACATCGGTATGTATAGCAGATTCATAGAGATGGTGGCTAAATACCCATTTGTGGGTATTTACTATATTGAATCGTGGCTACAACGTCTTCCATCCTATTTCTTGATTTCGGTTATCAAACCGTTTTGAGTTTTGTAATATCTTTAAAGACAATTGCTATTATAAGACGAAAGTAGCAAATGGAAATTAGGTATTGGGTCCGTAATGATACAGCCAAAAATCATACTCTAGGCAATTATCGAACCTATTATGCTGAACCGTATACCCTTCAGCAGGATATAGATTGACATACATTTGATTTTTATATGTAGGTCCGAAATATAAAAAAAAAATAAAAAAGATTTTTAAAATGGTTTATAATCACATTGATTACTTTTAGGAAAGGCATCAGATCTTTTATTTTTTGTGGCATATTCTCCCAAGGAGTCAGTTATCACACGCTCTTTTTGTAATGACATAGTTCGACATACAATAATTCTGATCCGGTACTTAAAAATAAAAAAAACATTTCTATTAATAAAATATTCTGTTTTGATTCTGTTCTTTTTCTGACACAGATTTAATTTCAAAAATAACTAAAGTTTGGCTAAGGAAACATTTTAATATTAATGGATCCACAAATCAATTTTAATCATACTGCAACTGCACATGCAATTGCAGGGACCGTAACGGTTATAACTTATATCCAATCAGGTAAAAAATAACTGTTATTATGTGACCTAAATAAAAAAATCCACTTTAATTATTTATTTTTTAAAAAAAATAAACATTTCTATTAATAAAATATTCTGTTTTGATTCTGTTCTTTTTCTGACACATATTTAATTTCAAAAATAACTAAAGTTTGGCTAAGGAAACATTTTAATATTAATGGATCCACAAATCAATTTTAATCATACTGCAACTGCACATGCAATTGTTATATACAAATCTCAGTTATAATATATGTTTATTGTAAAAGTCTTTAATGATATACTAAAATGTGAAAATACAATTATATTGTAAAATAAAAAAATGAATGCATAAAACATATTAAATGTTATTTTTTAATTGCCCTCGACAGCAACATCCATTATTGCTTGCACATAATATGGACCCTCATTGACATATGTACGCAACTGATTGTTGGTCTCAATATCAAAAGCACAGCTTTCGGCTAAAATTTTAATGACACAATATTTTGCATATTTTGCTTCCTTGTCAAATTCGATTTTCCGATCGAGGAGATATTCCAAAAATCCAGCTGTATTTTTCAGGGCATCAATGCCCCAAGCATACAGACAAGTGGCACCAATTAAATTTAATGTTGAAATTTTTATATCAGGGAATGGATTGCGACAAAAGTCCATAAGGAATTGCATATTATTTTGTCCATCATTTAAATGTTGAAACCATTTGTGTAAAATTTCGCTGAAAAAACAAATAGATCTCATTATTAATTTTTTGAATTTTTTACGGCTGTAAATACACCAACATACCTCACTTGATTTGAAACGGCTTCGTCGAATGTAAATATCAATTCTAAACTACTAAATGCTCGATTTTTCAGTTCTGAAGGCAAGTTGCGCAAATAAGAACTATAATCCTCCATACTCTCTTTGACATCACTGCTGTAGTTTTCTTCCAATAGGATTACGCCTTGTTGAGATTGACACAGGTTAGCTGGAAAAATAAGAACAAATTATGAGAATTTGGTGGCAGTTAAAATTCTAAAATTAAAAGTGCGCTTAATGTGTTATTTGTACTACTAATGACATGGTACCAACAATAATAGCGATAGATGTAAATGGAATCTTGGGCTTAAGTCAATTTTAGGGGCTCCATTCTAATCGCTTTAAAAACTATTCGACTGTTAACGATTTAACTCTTCGATCAATAATCGGGTACATTTGTACATTTTTTGGAATAAAAATGCTGTCAAATTTTCAATAATCTAGACTTTAGGATCAAATTTGTAGTACTCATTCCTGAAGTATTTTTAACCATAATTGGAGAAAAAAGTATAAATATCAATAACCGTGGTAAATTAGTCTATTGCGGATCTGACTAATGATAGTTGCAATTTTTAATGAATTACAGCGATATATTTAATAGTTTTTTTGGTTATTGACCGTTAAAAAATTACATATTACCTAATGTATCAAAAGCTGCTGGCAACAGCGACACATCTCCCGAATGCAAACACTCGAATAGACATTGTATCATACGCGGATATCCAGTTATAATCTTTTGTGGCTGTATGCTGGAAATTTTCCCAAAGAACTTCATTATGCCCGGAACCAATAGGCGATCCAGTGGATTCTGTTCGATAAGTTCAACTTTCTTGCTAATGACATCGAACACCTGTTGTTTTTCCAAAAATATTATGCCATGATTTTGTTCCGCCAACGATGCTAATATTTCCAGAATATTCACTTGCAACAAAACATCATCGTTATCCAATTCCGACAGTGCATGATCAAGTATGAACGCAACTTGTTCCAATGTTGCAGGCGAACTTTTAGAAAGATTGACAGCCAATTCATAGACACGACACTTGACCACCTCAGAACCCTTCAGGGCTTCTAAAAGTGTTTCCTTCACATATGACTTCTGTAAATGTTCCGGCAAAACAATGGTCAGAATTTTTACAGCAGGACTTCCGAGTTGGGTCTCTGATTCTTGCAATGCCTTTAAAATGTGTCGAAGTAGGTCATCGGAGATGGCAGCGCCCAAGCTGACATCACTTATTTGATTTTGTAATTCCTTGAGTATGGCATTCAGTGCCAAGGAACGAATGCGTGACCTCTTGTGCTGCAAAGCTCTGTCCAGCAGACGTGGTAAATCGTTTTGACGTAAGGACAAATTGGCCATGCATATGGACAGGATGTCGCTAACCAAGTCCATAGGATCTGCATTGGCGTCCAGTGGCGATTCATCGTCGTCCTCTACTTCCAAACAGTCATATATTTCCGAAGATGTTAGCAAACGGTTGGTTACCTTTGCTTCCAAATTTGGAGTTTCATTGAGGCGACCTCGTATCTCCGCTAGGGTGGACATACGATTCTCTTTTATTTTTAGGTTTTCCAGTTTTTCACAACACCATTCTTCAGTCATTTTTGTGCAAATACTGTATTCAGTACAATATCCTCTTTAATTTAAATTCTGATATACTCTTTGGGAATTGTTTACATTCCGATCCGGTTTGAAAAGCATCAAATCACTCTGTTTGACATTTGGTGTTTACGGCACTGCGAAGGGGTAGCTACAACAGATCAGCTGCTGGTAACAAGAGCTGTCATAAAAAATCGTTCCAAATGATATGAATTGAATCTGTTCTAAAGGCGGGATTCAGGCATGCCATGTGTCGGGTAACTTTCAGAGACATCTATAAAATACATTAAGAAATAAAATCGGGTTCATGTCTTTGCTGAATGTGAACAAATCAAATAATACAAAGATACTATTTGTAGCATACTTTTAGGCACATACCGTATACATTATATTAACAGAGATGAATGTGAAAAATGTTGCAGGTTGTTTTTATATAGAGAACAGTTTAGTTTATAGTCTGTTACTGTAAAATTCGATTCGACGGAATTGAAGGAAATTAATACCAAAATATCGAGCCATATTCGCCAAAAAAACGTAACCCTCAAATTTGAAATTTTACAGGAGAAGGTTTGTTTTAATAAATTTAGATTTAATAAAGCTACTGTTTTGGAATTTAGAAATATAGTTTAAAACAAAACTAGTTTATAACAAAACTATAGGTCTAAATTTCAAAATAATAGCTTTATTAAATCTGAATTTATTAAAACAAACCTTCTCCTGTAAAATTTCAAATTTGAGGGTTACGTTTTTTGGCGAATATGGCTCGATATATTTATACCCTTTAACACACTGGGTACAGAGTTTTATGCCTTTGTCCACATGTTTGTAACATGCAAAATGAAACAAGATAGACCAATAGTTACTTTTGAGGATATGCCTAGAATCATTTGTTGAGTTGATTTATGCATGTCCGTTCATTCGTCTGTCTCTCCATATATTACAGGTACAAAGTGTAGATCGCATTTATGATCCGAATTGGAAGAAATTTAATACAACGCATTTTTTAGTCCTAGGACAAACTGTATTGTAATTGATGAAAATCGGATAGGATTTTGAAATAGGCCTCGTAGTGCACAAAGAGCCTGAGTTTGTTCGATTTACACGCAATGTTGCATATCGTAGTGAAAATAGCCTAGCCTAAATATGTGTTAAGTTTTGTTTAAATAATCTAGATTTAGATATAGCTTGTTATACCCTACACAACTATGTTGTCAGGGTATTAAAGCTTTATGCAGTCCCAAGAGTTTGTAACGACACGAAATATTGGTCCTAGACCCATCTTTAAGTATACCGATCGTGATATCTCGACTAGCTGAGACGATCTTTTCTTTCAGATTTTCTAGTCGCTCTAGAGGCAATTATTATATGCAGAACATCACATATTTTACAAGGTGAAGGGGATCTGACCAAATAATTAGAGCGGCTGTTGATAAGATTTGACCCTCGAAATATTGACCGATCATCATCTAGGTCAATATACCGAGGGTCAAATCAACCAAAACATAAAGTGACAATTTTTTATTTTACGGTGTAAAAATTCAGTTCAAGAAAAAAAAAATTGGAAAATATGTCAGGGTTTGAAAGTAAAGTTGTTGATCTATAATCGGTAAAAAGGGTGTAAATATCTCGAAAAATTGCCCAGGCTCAGAATATAGAACCACAGAAAGTTTGATTTTCGTGGTAGTTGTGTAGGGTACCATATGGTCGGCCCCGTCCGACTATACTGCTCCGCTCACTGGTTGAAATTTGAAATTTTCTTACTGGTTTTACATATAAAATAAACCATTGCTTGATTAAAAATTTTGAAATAAAACAGTTTTCAAAATTACAAAAAAAAAAAAATTATAGATTTTTCAGCCCCCTCTGGTATCGTAAAACTTACAAACAGACTTTTGGATCTTACAATCTTTACATCATATCTGGGAGACCTTATTCTCGATGCAAACTACTACGTTTCCGTTGTAATAATATAAAATAAATCCTAAATTTCAAAACTTAGAACAACACAATAACATTTTTAAGCACTGGCGACACTACCACTTGTTCACAATTCGCACACAGACATAACATAAATATCGATAGGGCCAGTAGAAAGGATAATTTAAAAAAAAAACAAACGAGATTCATATCAAACCTAGAAAAAATGCATTTGACCGAAAAATTGAATTTTCACATCCAGAAAAGTTATATTTGAAATTTATGACTGTTGTATTAAGTGGCAACATTTCATTTTGTCCAGAGCATCGGAGTTATTGAGAAGTTATTTTACGCTTGTCCAAAAAGTATTGATTATTAAGATTTTGCAATTACCAGCGAAAGGGTATGGGTGAGTGAATTTTGTAATATGTCCCTATATTGAAATAGGTTCAAAGCACATTTTTAGTAAAAGAAATCGCAAGCAGTCAGCGGTTATGAGTGAGTGATGTAGACTCGTTTAAGTGATTAAGTCCGCCTCTAATCTAATCATTCGTATGGGTAAAATAACCATAGGAAAAAAATAAGCGTAATTTAATTTTGTAAAAAATAATTTCTTTATTTTTCTTCTTCAAATTAATTTCCATCTAATATAATACACTTGTGCTAGCATTTTTCCAATCCTTGGGGAGGAAAATGTCAGCGTGGGCCATGTCCGGTGAATACGGTGTTTGATACAAGATAAAGGTGTGACCTGGTGTATTATTATGGTCACGAACTTGACGTTTTATAAAGTCTTCTTTGTCTAATCAGGACTTTTCAAAAAAACTTCAAATGTGTAAGTCGGTGTCGCCAACAAAAAACACGGGTTGCCAAAACTAATGCAACTGAAATTGCAAAAATAATAAAAGCCGTATAACTTTTTCAAAAATAACGATATCATATTGTTTTTTAGTTTTATGTTGGGATTATCATTCACTTAAAAAAAAAAACAAAAGCATAAATGCAAAATTCAATTTGCAGTAGAAAATAATTTATGGAAAACGACATTAACTCTATTTTTCCTTGGACAAAACTAAAGCAACTCTACTGTATGCGTTTTTAGTTGTTTTTACAGTTAAATTTACAAAGTTTTGGTTTCTACACATATTTTGATTCTTATAAATTCGTTTGAAAAGGTTCATTATTACTATGAAACATGTTGATTTTGACTTACTGCTTAAAATATATAACAAGTGAAAAAGCGGTAAGTTCGGCCGGGCCGAACTTTGGATACCCTCCACCATAGATACACTGACAGGTACTAGAAATGAAAATATAGGGAACATACCAAAAAGTGGATTATGTAAACCATAATACAAATTTCAGAAAATTTTAATGGATAAATATACCCTCAGCCATTTGCTAATGAGGGTGTAAACATATTAATACGGTGAAAATGTGCCCTTTCGAAATATCCGTTTCATAAAAATTTAGATTTCATCCAAACTTTGCCCATCTTATTATTTCTTCCAAAACTCCTTCAAATTCTAAGATGGGGAATATCGGTTGACTCCTTCTGGAACCTCCACACAGGGACTAGATCTATTCAAATTCAAATCGCGGAACAAATCAGATAACTTTTTTAATATAGAAAAGGGGGTTATATGGGGACTACCCCAAAATGGAGGCGAATATTGATAATTTTTGGTAGGGAGATTTGTTACCATATACGACTACAAAATACCAAATTGCAGCGAATTCGGTTGATAAACGCGCTCAAGAACCCCAAAATACCGAAAATTGGGGGTACCCTTATATGGGGGCTATCCGAAAATATGGAAATATATTCATAATTTTTTGTGGAGATATTTTGTACTTATTAAGAACTCAAAATACTAAATTACAGCTAATTCGGCGGAAAAATACGAGCAAAACCACCAAAATACTGCGAATTAGGAGGTACCGTTATGTGGGGGCTACCAGAAAAAGTGGACCTATATTTATAATTTTTTGTGGTGATATTAAGTACCCAATAAGAACCCAATGTAGCAAATTTCAGCGAATTCGAACTTGACCTGCCTGCAGACAAAAGACGACTCTATGCAAAATTTTGGCGATCTATCTCCATTCGTTTAGACGCTAGAGTGATTACAACAGACAGACGGACATGGCTATATCGTCATAGAATTTTACGCTGATCAAGAATATATATACTTTATAGGGTCGGAAATGATTATTTCGATGAGTTACAAACGGAAAAACAAAGTTAATATACCCTCCATACTAGGGTGGAGGGTATAAAAATTACTAAAAACAAATACAGTACTCCGATAACAGCTTATTACCAGTGATTGTGAAAATAATTTATTACAGAAACTGATTTGGGAGAAATATTCCATAAATAAATCCGTGATTTCTAAAATATAAATATATCCCCATTATTTCTGAAAAGGTTCGGAAAGCCAAATTTGGCTTTCACAAAACCTCATATTAACATGAATCCGACTCTGTGGAAAATATTATGTTCTAGGATGTGTTCTAAGGTTCAGGATGCGCGGAATAGTATATCCAAGGATATACTATTCGCAAATAATAGTTACATTCTCGATTGAAAATCAAAAAGTTACTTTATTTTTGACCAAGCAAAATTGAGCCAATTTATTTTTCCATAGAATATTTTTATTGTTTTGTTGTTTTTGTTAACCTGTGATGTATTAATTTTTCTTGTTTGGATTTGGTTCGGCTCAAGGTTAAATAAAATTCTGTATTATGATTTCTGATTTTTTATTTTTATTTTCCAATATTTCGACTGTCTTCGACAGTCATCTTCAGGGAAATACTAAAATATACAATTATTTAATAAGGTTTTCACAGAATAATATAACACAAATATTACGTTTTGAGAGAAGCTACAGGTTTGTTACACCGTCTATGCTAAACTAAACTCTAATTCGTCTGTGCTTATGAACTAAATTTCTATACATATGTGCACAGTGGTCCGTGTCAGTCTTGTAATTCATTCTCTTCTCTTGTGGTACATTTATTATATTAAGCATTTCTAAAGTAAATCGTCGTTTGTAATTGTTTTCTTGTGTCAAAATATCAAC